AAATACTGCTGACTGAATAAATATACTGTATCTGTACTATTTAAGTTTGTAAATATCTGCTCTTTTAATAAAGCATAATAAAAGAATACCAAAATAAACAGATACCATTTAAAAGAACCGAATGAAAAATTATTCAAATCATATTTTAAAATAATTATAGATATTAAATTTCTATGATATAGAATGCATGGTTGTAAATGATATCAAAATGGAGAATTTTTTTTTTTGAGACAGAGTTTCACTCTGTCACCCAGGCTGGAATGCAGTGGCATGATCTCAGCTCACTGCAACCTCCACCACTCAAATTCAAGCAATTCTCCTCCCTCAGCCCCCCGAGTAGCTGAGATTATAGGAACATGTCACCATGCTCGGCTAATGTTTGTATTTTTAGTGGAGATGGGGTTTCACCATGTTGGCCAGGCTGGTCTCAAACTCCTGACCTTAGGTGATCCATCTGCCTCAGCCTCCCAAAGTGCTGTGATTATAGGTGTTAGCCACCATGTCCTAGACCAAAATAGAGAATTTTTAAATAAAAAAGACAGTATCAAAATGTATTTTATAAAATAAATATTTATTATAATTCTATTAAGTTGTACTTTTCTAAGATACAAAATCAATTTATCTCAAAATAAGTTATTTAAAAAAGTGTCAGTTTCTGGCTGGGCATGGTGGCTGACACCTGTAATCCTAGATTATACATGATATATATTTAAAATATAATAACCATTCAAAAACACATTCTTCTTGTATTCTCCAAAGTACCCCAAAATTCCTTAAGGATATAAACATATATCAGTGCATAGGGCTTAAAATAAAGCATTTTGCTAGTAAATTCCACTCAAAAATTCTTAGATAATTAGTCATGGTCAAATTACAGTTGAGGACATAGGCTGTGTGCATTTTTAAAAAAACCATTTTAGAGTTGCTTTCCATAATGAAAGTTTTCCTTTCTCTTAGACTATGAAGTTCCCTTATGTAAATTAACTTCATTTTAAATGGCCCTTCTGGCTGAGTGTGGTGGTTCAAGCCTGTAATCTCAGCATTTTAGGAGGCTGGGGCCAGTAGATCATCTGAGGTCAGGAGTTTGAGATCACCCTGGCCAACATGGTGAAATCCCATCTCTACTAAAAATACAAAAATTAGTTGGGTGTGGTGGTGGGTGCCTGTAGTCCCAGCTACTGGGGAGGCTGTGGCAAAAGAATCACTTGACCTCGGGAGGCAGAGGTTGTAGTGAGCCGAGATTGTGCCACTACACTCCAGCCTGGGAAACTGAGCAAGATTCCGTCTTAAAAAAAAAAAAAAAAAATTAAATGGCCCTACTGTTGTAAAAGGCTATAAAGAAGACTAAATATTCCTACTCTAGTTTCCTAAGAAACAATAAAAGTTGAGCAAGACATACAGAGTAAATCATTACGGTATGATTATCATTAACAAAATGCTACTCATGTAATCCTGATTTTCTATGACTTCACAGAAAAAAATACATACAATATTCTTTTTCTCCTATAGAATGAACTGACTCAAGATTCTGAAAAAATGCAAATGATTGTGTTCAGGGTTTTTGTACAGTGAATGTAAACAGGATGCTTATTTGTACAGCATGATAAATTGGATTAAGAGCTAATGTCAACATTTGTTTCAGATTTTTGAGCTTGATAAACATATATAAATAAGAAGTCAATTAAGTCAGATTCATTTTCTGTGGCAGAATAACCATCAATACAAGCACCAATGTATTCTTATTCCAACCATACAGAAAAGTAGACTGAGGTAATTCTAACACTTTTAAATAAATTCCTATAACTCTTACATAAAATTTCCATGTAATATCATGTTGTCATCCAACAATGTATTTTAAGCTGAGTCATTTATTTCCTGATCTTTCAAAAGACTGCACAATTTGAATACTAATTTTCAGTAGACCAATGTAACACCTGTTGAAAGACCATTAATTCAAATCAAAAACGAATTTTAAAAAGCTCTGACCTACAAAAAACACTGACTTTTTAGGATGCACAGGAATAGGATATATCTTAGCTAACTGGAATGCGATGCTTACGTAAGATTACTTGGATGCGCTTTATAGGTACTATATCCCAAAACAGATTCTGCCATCATTATTCTGAGAAATATTATTCTGAATTAAGCTTAATGAACAAATTATGGAAATAGAAGAGATTTGGGCTGAATATCCCTTGAAATTAATTATCATTTGCTTCATTCTCCTAAAAATAGGGAATAAGAGATGCTAGTTAGCTGAGTTTTAACAAATTGGTACTTTACTAGGATAGTAATTCCTCTCAGCATAAAAATCTCAGGACTCTGTTTGCATGCATATGAGCATAATTAATTTTAAAAATCAGGTAGATCAAGTAGATCAGGACCCAAATCTCCTGAACAGTATAGGTTCAGGAATACCCATTAGACCTTCTCCCCGCATCATTTCAGCTATTCATTTGTAGCTATTCATTGTAGAAATGAATAGTTTAAATGATGGGGGGAGAAGGTCTATGCGGTCTGTGATCAGGATAAGAGTTTAGAGAAGTTTCCCAGTTTGCAGTTAAGTTTTAAGATTTAGTGGAGTGGCTGTCAATCTAAAATTTATTTGCAACTATGAGTCACAGATCATATTAAAGACAGAGGCCAGCTCAAATATAAATAAGGTATAAAAGAAACATAAAAGAATGCCATATAAAGTACTTTAAATATTAAATGTAAAGGCAAATTATGTATAAAATATGAACAGGCCAGTTGTGCTGGCTCACACCTGTAATCCCAACACTTTGAGAGGCTGAGGAGGGAGGATCACTTGAGCCCAGGAGTTTGAGACCAGCTTCAACAACATGGCAAAACCCATCTCTACTAAAAATATAAAAACTAGCCAGACATGTTTGCAAATGGCTGTAGACCCTGCTACTAGGGAGGCCGAAGTAGGAGCATCACTTGAGCTTGGGAGGCCGAGGCTGCAGTGAGCCTTGATTGTGCCACTGCACTCCAGCCTGGGTGACAGAGTGAGACCTGTCTCAAAAAAAAAAAGAAAAAAAAAAAAAACCAGAAAAGTTTAAGGTCCAAAATTCTACACTTTGACTCATGATACAAATGTTCTCTAAGTCCCAGCTATAGTGTTTAATATATCTAACAATTGTAACTATCATTTATTTAATATATATTATGCACCAGAGATAGTGCTGGGCCCATATTATGTATACATAATCTCATTTTAAAAACCTGATGACACTTATGCAAAAGTAAGCATTGTCAGTGTTTAACAAAAGGAAGGAAGGAGGTTCAAAATGTAACTACAACTAAAAAGAAGAACCAGAGTGTGGATTCACAAAGATCTGACTTCAAAATCTATCAATTTTCTACAATACCACTTTGCTCTCTATAAAACTAAATAGAGTCAATCTCCTTCCCATTGTGGATTCCATATTTGCAAATATGCCTACTTGCTAAAATTTATTTGTAACCCCAAAATTAATACTCATCATTTCTGACTTTTGTAGTAATTCAGTGATATGTGCAGAGCAGTGAAAAATGTGACGTGAGTTACCTGATACACATGTGCATTCCTAACAGGGGTCAATGAGGTGACTTTCTTCCTAATTGTTTAAGCTATCATACTGTAAACACGTGTCATTTTTGTGATCTAAATTAGTACCAGATTGTGTTTGTATTTCTGTGGGTGATTATTCTGTTTTAAATAGCCCCAAGAAGAGTGCTGAGAAGTGCTGTCTACTGCTTCTAAGTGCAAGAAGACTGGGATGTGCCTTAAAGAGAAAACACTTAATAGATAATCTTTGTTAAGAAATAAGTTACAGTGCTATCGGCCATGAGTTCAATGTTAATATGTCAACAATATATACTAAATGTCTTTAAACACAAACATACAGAAGACAAGGTTATCTACTGATCAGCTGGTGAACATGTTATGACCAGAGGCTCACAGAAACCTAACCCTGTCTTTCCCTTAGGAGCCATTATTCAGTATTCTCGAATTCAGTGTTAAGAGCAAAATGGCAAATAGTGAGAATCAACTGTAATACAATGGAAAACTTCCCCCCCCCAAAAAATGTTTAGATTGATATTTCAGTAAAAGATTCTCCTTCTGTCATTTCCTTCAAATATATTAGATCATTATACTTGTGCAGTCATCACTCATTTGCTTAAGGAATATTTTGTTGGCATTCTGTTTAATGGGTTGCAACTCCATGTGCTTGACTTTGCTCAGAAAATTAATCTCTCTTAAAAGCAATCTGGCTTTCCAGTGTGAAAGTCTAAGGCAATTAAATTTCACTTCTTACTACCAGATGTCATGAGTACTGTGTAAAGATGAGTGTTTTGGGAGATTATGATTTTTAAAACTAGATATTACAGTTATATGTAATATAAATAACATAAGCAACAACAAAACTTAGCAAAGGAAATCAGAGAAATATCAATAGCACAAATTGGAACTCTTACCTTTCTTGCCCAAGTCAGAGATTTTACTGAAGAAAAAAAAAAAAAAATTACAGTACTTAAAAATCCAAACAAGGACAATTCAGGGTTGAAAGAAAGAAAACCTGAAGGAGTGTATTGTCTTCAGTAAAATTTTAAATACAAAAAACGTAGACCAGAAAAACAGTTTATGGCCTAATGCACTAGTTCCATGATAAACACACATATATAGTATATCTCCATCAAGTGGAAACTTAATCACCTTTTCACAATTTAGAGAGGGAAGGCAGCTTTTAGTATGGTTAAGCCATGTATCATCAATACCATGAAGCTAGCCTATCAGTTGTAATAGCTTCTATAAAATACCACAGTGAGATTGCAATAAGCCTAGAAAATGGGCTACAAATCCCAGCTTTGCTCAAGGCAAGCAGTGAACCAAAAATAAAAATAGGTAAAACGGAACCAAGAACTAGACAGCATTCATCGAGATTCATGATTGATAAGGCAAAGTTCATAGGCTAAGGTTTTAAAGTGACTTATTCAGATCTAAAAGACAATCATACAAAATAAAACAAAAGCATTTATGTAATTCAGAAAAAAACATGAATTTTCACTCCAAAGACATAGCACAGAAAAGCTTACTTACAATTACCAACACCACACCATTGTACCTTTAAATATGCAAAGGTAAAGAGACTCAAAGTTGCATTTTATCATTCTTAATCTCTCCATATTAGACAAGCAGTCTAACAGGAGATGTCACACATTCCTGCTTCATGCATTTGCTGAAATAGTCCAGACTTCAAAAACTTTAGGTAAAGGCAATGGCAACTTAAAGTTTCTTTTCCAATCATATTTAAGTTAAATGCTGAATTAACAATTAATCCATACAATAATATAAAAATACACATATTAAATCACGTTGTTTTTCATTATTGAAGCTTAATAGAAATATCATTTTAATATAACCATTTTGAAGAACTCAAATGGTCTGAACTTATTATAGTGTCTAAATTACACCATCAATAGAAACATTACATTTCCCCCCCACTTGGTGAAAATGAGCTCATGCAAGTATTTCTGACACTCACAGTGACACATATGGTCTGCCATTCTAAAGATGTACAAGCAGCTCTCCCTTTTAAACATGATGATGTGATTCAGAATCACACAGTATTTGTTTAAAATACCAGCTTTCACATGTTTCATTAAGCTGTAAACCAAAATAATAATTTTGATGTGTTTCAGGTATCAGACAAAGCAGATAGTTTAAAAGGTAAATGATTCTACTAGTGCAGACTAGTTATCACTGTGGCTAATTTAGAAAGAGGATGATTTTTGCAGCACAATGAAAACTACACTATAAAATACAATGAGTTTGCAATACAGAGCAGATTACCCAAGTAGAAAGTAAGCTGAACAAAATACAAACTCCAGCAAAGATTATCAACCTTACCTACTACTCATCATAGCCCTTGTTAAAATACCCTGAGTAAAATGCAAATATTTTAAATAACGCTGGTTATATAAGACTTCTCTAAAAATGAACCATAAATGTCAATGCATCACGATTTTTATTTACAACAGTCAGATATGAAAAATTAATTCTTAATCAGTCACACTATAAACATTAAGGAATACTTGTTAGATTGGGAAGTTTTAAATTTCTAGCTTTGTGAGCATTTTGGCAAAGCAAGTATACATAAATAGACTCAATGTAAAAAAAAAATCATAAAAGAGAAAAATATATAAAATGTACAGTAGTTTCTATCCACCCTGGGCCAACCTAAATGCCTAGAAGGCCTCCCCAGTCAGGTTCACTTCTGACTAAAAGGAAGAATACCAGTCCTCCAGCAAAAACAGTCCCATCTTTTCATCAAAGAGGCTCTTACTTCAGTGATTATTCCTCCAGGGAAGAGGACAGGAGCCAGGTTCCCTCGAATGTCATTCCCCGGATGTTCAAAATGTAACTAATTTATTAGCATTAGAAGATTTGGTTTATAGGGGAATCTCACTGGTCCAGTTTGTAGCCTACAAAAAAAATGGATTATTTTTAAGTATAACATTAGAATATGAATAAAGGATGAGGATGTGGCTTTTTATTCCATAGAAATGAAAACATTTCCAAACATGACAATTACACAAAAAAAGTATGCCTACCATTAAAGTTGGAGTCCCTCCAGATTTTTTAATATTCTTTGAAGACATTCCATGAAGGCAACTGAGTCTAGCTTGGAAACCTGGAAAATCAAAGTACTCAATTTAGAAGATTCTATGATCGCTGGAGCATAGAAGATGATCTATCAATAGAGAATGAAAGTAAGTTGGTGGTGGCGTGAATGCCATGAATATTATTGGGGAAAATGCAAAACTCACACTTGAAAAAAATTGTAGCAATGCCTTGCGAAGTACTAATGCAGTCAGCACTTAACTATCCAGTGTTTGAACACTAGAGTAATAAATATCCAGGCCATTTCTCTTGTTCCAATTCACATTCTTATCATTTCAACATTTTCTCCATGAGCCTAGCAAGAAAACAAGTCAATTTTTCTACTAATTTGGAAGCATGATAAATGTAGTAGCTGTATTAGCGGCCAATATATTTCTTTCCAGTGTCCTGTGTTTACATTCTCTAATTTCCACTCTATCTTATCCTCTTTAAATGAATATTCCTAGATTGACCTTAAACCCATTGTATCTACCCAGGAGCCAGAGCTACTGACCTCTTCTGCTTGGATGCGACATAAGGGAAAAGAACCAGTTAAGATACTTTCAAAGACAGGATCTGGTAAATTTTTGTCTAGCTCAGTAGGATCTTCCTTTTCCCACCAGGGCACAACTCCAGTGATACCACATGCTCCACCTGACTCCTTTTTGTAGAACCAGTCACTCTGTTCATCATCACCTGTGCAAATACAAGAAACCCCCACCACCAAAGATTCAGTTTTATCATCCAGTTACACAATTAGTGTTGTCAGGTAGTAAAAAATACAAGATGGCAGTTAAATTCAAAATTAAGATCAATGACTAACTTTTACTATAAATATATAGTATTTGCACTAAATTTTTAGTGTAAGTATGTTTAAGTACTGCATGGAAAATACGTGTTCTAAAAAATTGTGTGTTATTTACCTAAAACTTAAATCGGGGATCCTATGTTTTGACAATTGCATATATAATCTATAAGAAAAACTTTTAATTTTATAAAACAGCTTCACTTAAGAAATGTTCTCTTAAGACTGTAAGTACTCCATCAACAAAAATGCAAAGTATTATGTTTTAGAACCAATTCTAAAACATGAAAAACAATAATTAACTGGTTAATCCTTTGGCAAAATCTATTAAAAAATCCACTTCAGTTACTACCCCTTCCACATTAAGAAAAAACAAACCTTAATCTGCTCCCGGGAATTAAAAAGTATTAAAACTGTGGAACCCTTTCTTTGCAGCCGATATGGGTACATAATTAGTTTAATTTCATGATTTGTATGGCGTGTAAAAGGGGAAACAGTGATGAACAGATGTGACTAAATGAAATTAATCCAATTAAGCTCATTAAGAAATAGTTTTGAAAAAGTTGATTTTAAATGAAAAGTGACAATACCTTAGAGTTTATGAAGAAACTAAATTGAATAAGTGAGATATTTTTGCCCAGCACTATCCAGTAATTCTGACTTTTCGGAACATACATGAGTGTAACCATGGAACAATAAATGATCAATTGAAAATTCAGTTTGAAATGTGTCATCAGTGAGAATCAGTATTTTGTTTTTTGAAAAAAAGGAGTTATGAAGAGCTGTATAAAGAGACAAAAATACAAAAGACGGGTGGCTTTTAAAAGAAAGAGAGACAGGCCAGGCATGATGGCTCATGGGTATAATCCCAGTGCTTTCAGAGGCTAAAGCAGGAGGATCACTTGAGATCAGGAGTTCCAGATGAACCTGGGTAAGATAGTGAGACCCTGTTTCTACAAAAAGATTAGAAATTAGCCGGGCATGGTGACATGCACTTGTAGTCCTAGCTACGGGAGTCTGAGGCAGGAGGACCCCTTGAGACCAGCAGTTTGAGGTTACAGTGAGCTATGATCGCACCACGGCACTCCAGCCTGAACGACAGGGCGAGACCTTGTCTTAAAAACAAAAAAGAGAAAAGAAAAGAAAAACAGAAAGAAACAAATAGCATTTTGAAGATGATCTGAGATTCATTAAAGTATCCTCCCCTTGATTATAAAAAGCCACCACTAATTCTGGTTTCTAAGAGAGTCATCACAATTGTCATAAACTTCTTTTGTTTAGAGAAAGATATTTCTGATTTCTAAAATATCTTACAACAAACATATTTAAAGGAAAACTGAAAATACTCTTAAGCTTCAGTTGAAAATAATTTTATGAGAAACAGCTACATTTCAACTAAGACGGAATGGAAAATTAAAGGCATTTCAAAAACTAGAGTCACTAGAGCTTGTTTCTACTGGGAAATTAATTTAAAAAATAATTTTTCAAAAAACACAATTAACAGCACTTAGAGATTGGGACTTTTACTGAGCTTTATATTAAAAGTATACAGATCAGGTTTCAGAATAAGAAAAAACCAGTCCTCACTTGAAACTGATTACCATATATCTGAATTCCAACATTATTATAGAAAGATAAAATTTTTTTTTGATGCGATACACAACTTTATTCTTCAATAGGGAAATCAAATAGTCACTGAATAAGAACTTCCTGTGAAGTCAGAGAGACCAATTAGAATTCCTGTGTTCTCTAGTATCAGGAAAGTTACTTCAACTCTATTAGTGTCAGTATCTTCATTTAAAAAACATTGGGATCTCAAAGGGATTTTTAAGAATTAATTAAGAACTTAAAGGCAAGAAAAGTGCTTAGCAATGTGAAATATAGTAAGTAACAATCAATGCTAGCATAGCATTCTAAGCCCTTCCATACTTATCCAAGATTGACAGCCTTGTCAAGGTTGATGTTTTACTTTTTTCATTTCATTTTATTACCAATATCAACATTTATAATACAATCTTGAGTAAAGACCTGTATTTTAATGAGAATTTAAGTATATTATCAAGGTAGTTCACCTTCCCATTTAGCCCGAGCATTTTAACATATTTCATCAAAGTCTTGACTTTAAAGTCTATGATCTTTCAAATAGTTATGTACCTATTTATCTAGGACAAATAGTTCACAAATAGGAAAAAAAGAATGATCACTTCATTTACATTTACTGTGCTGCCAAGAGGATGAGCAGACTAAGGAAAAAAGTGCAGGCAGCAATTACTTTGTCCTTTTTCATTACACCATTAAATAAATTTATAATTTAAAATTTACATTAGTTTTTTTCACTTGTAACTTACTGTCTTCCTCCAATGTGTTCTTAAAAAAGAGAACATTTGTGATAGGTATTTGCATGTGTTAATGGCATGATTTGTATGGAGTATAAAAGGGGAAACAATCCAGAGCAGATGCGACTAAATGAAATCAATCCTATTAAGGATTAATCCTGTCCCCTTATGAAGGTTTTCTTATTTTTCATAGCTTCAAAATACTGCCATGTTAAACACTGAAGCTTCCAGAAGTTTCAAAGATGGAAAACATAAATGATGTAAGACATTTCTGTTTAACAGTTAACATTATTGAATTCATAAAAATCATCTAATTACTTACAAACTGGATAGAATGAATAAAATGTCACAGCTGAATAAAAATGACAAATGACTTGCAAATCCACCTTTATGAATGCTTAAACAGGTTTAAATACATTTGGAATTACGTCGAGAATGAGAACCAGTTTCTTTCAAACTTGCTAAATGAGAGAAAATCAAAAAGGTACGTAAAGCTTTCTCAAACAAGATAATCCTCCCTTAATATTATTCGCTCCACATACTAGCTTTTGGAGATAATCAATTACTTTAGGTCATGAAGCCAAGACACCTTCCACAGCATATGAAAAACCAGCTGCCATACTAAATTCTAGTCCAGTAAGTAATGGGTGTAAGGTAAACGGATTGCAGTGGTCAACTCATGAAATAACCAGCAATAAACACAACTTTACAATGAAGAAGTTTTTCCAAAGAGAGAAGAAAAATATCATTTCAGTACCTTGTCTTCCCTCATCATTGGTAAACAATCCAGCATCAGTGCTGGAATCATTGTAATAACGAAAAAGAAAGAAACAGATCAAAAGAACAATTGATCTTTCAGTCATAAAAAAATTTTCTTTTATGACTGCGCCCGGCCTCAGTCATAAAATTTTAAAGAGACATGGCAGCTCAGAGATGGAACTTAAGCCTGACAAAGATCTGAAAGAAAATAAGATGATTCAGGCCGGGCGCGGTGGCTCACGCCTGTAATCCCAGCACTTAGGGAGGCCGAGGCGGGTGGATCACGAGCTCAAGAGATCGAGACCATCCTGGTCAAAATGGTGAAACCCCGTCTCTACTAAAAATACAAAAATTAGCTGGGCCCGGTGGCGCGTGCCTGTAATCCCAGCTACTCGGGAAGCTGAGGCAGGAGAATTGCTTGAACCCAGGAGGTTGAGGTTGCGGTGAGCCGAGATCGCGCCATTGCACTCCAGCCTGGGTAACAAGAGCGAAACTCCGCCTCAAAAAAAAAAAAAAAAAGAAAAGAAAGAAAGAAAATAAGATGATTCTTTTTAATCAAACTGCAAATATCCTGTTTCCATTAACTACAGAGCATATTATTTTTGGCACAGAAAACCACAGGAATCTAATGGGACCCTGAGAGTAAGCCAGATGTGACTGCAACGAGGTACTTACACAATTGATGCATTTTATTACGTGCTTTCATCAAATGCTCACTGCTCCTTTCTTATGCCATGCAATTCAGCTTGAGCCTGGAACACCACTGCTCAATAAAATGGGAAAGTTTCAATCAAATGCAGGCTAAGCCTTTCTTCAGCACATGAAATACAAGGGACTAGGATGAGATTACTTTCCATAACCACATTTGCAAATATTCTGAAAAAGACATTACTTAAGAATTCACAACAGCTCTATTAGTTCGCAAAGAAGAAAAAAGTTTAAAACAATGATAATCCACTATATCGAAGTTAAGGTCACTTTTAAGCAAAAAAAAAAAAATATTACAAATATTAAGGAAGGAGTGTTCAAAAATAACACAGGTTGTCACTGCTTCCACAGAAGGCCCAGAGTCAAATTTAACATACAAATAAAAGAAACAGCAGATATTTCAATGACATAAACAAACTGCTACTATTAGTTCTAACAGAAGTAATGCTTATATAATTGTCTACTTTAAAATACCAGGAGAACAAGGTCGTATAATGAGAGGTTTAGCTTTTTAAAAAAATTGAGTGATGTTCTTTGAAAATTCTCATTATTTCATTTTTATTGTAATTCTTAATTTCAACCAATCAGGAAATCATCCTTTTTTTTAATTAAAATACTTATTCCATTAATATGCAGAACTACATAACCTTATTTTTTAAAAAGGTATCCTAACTTGTTTTAAAGTATCTAAATTGAGAAGTTTAGGATTAAAATTCTAGATAAACTAAATCCACATACATTTTCTGAATATAATTTTTTGTTCCATTTTTTAAACCTAAATATTAATGAAGAATAAAGGAATTTGTTAAGAGGCACATTTTTATAATGAGTTCTGAATTTATACCTCTTTCTAGCTTTCTTCCAAATTAGCTGCATGTATGAAGCTCCCTATGTTGAAAAAAATATTTTCTAAGAGCATCACAACCAAATTTTCTTATTTACAAATGTATGTGCTCTTCTCTGCACCATAGTGTGAGATTATTAAAATCACCTCACAATCTTTATCTTGCTGACATTTTGCTGTCTAAACTATTACTGATACTTTCCTTTTTCCTGTGTGCCCCCATTAATAAAACTCAAATGAAGGGCCTCATATGCCTCAGGTCACATTTCCTTTTCTGAAACCCTTGAGGCAAATGTATTTAAAATTCTGAATTATTCAAATTTTAGCAAGGTATATTCTAAACTGCCTCAGAGGAGTCTGGGATAGTACTCCATTAACAATATTAATATATTTTTTCAATTAAATGAAAGAATAACCACTTTAAGTGCAAGTCAAATTAAATCTGGCCACAAATGAATTTGTTTTTCATAGCTTTTCAGAGTTCAGATTTGCAGACAAAGCACTATGAATTGATGTGCTATTTTTTTATGGACCTCGATCTCCTAATCTGAATTCAGATTTACTCTTCTCTAATCTATTCTACATATACCCAATTTCATCTTTTCAAAATAAAACAAGTTGACTAAAAATAATGTGATATACTGATATGAAAAAAGGACATTAAAAGCAAAGGAAATTCTAATAAACTATGAACCTTACTTACAAATGTATCAATTTTTGTTTCATTAACTGTGAAAGATGAACTATAGTAATATAGGATATTAACAATAGGGGAGAGTGGATTTGGGGTATACGGAAATGTGATATACATGAACTCTCTGAACTATCTTTACCACTTTTCTGTAAATTTACATCTATTCCAAAGAAAGTAGTGGATAAAGTATGCACACACACATACACACACATGTACCTTATAGGACAGTCTTCTATTTAAAAATCTAAAATTACTTCCTCAGCACTTGCTGAATTAAATTTAGATTTCAAGACTTTCTATGGACAGGCCTCCATCTAAATTCTTCTCATTCCCATCTTTGGTCCTTTTGTTTATGTTCTTTTCCCAGTGGTATGCCTATCTCTACTCTCTTCCCTCTTCACCTGCCCTGTCTCTTAAACATATAAGGAAATCAGAATAACCCTCTCCTGCAGTTCTTAGCCCTTAATGATCCTCGTCCCACTTTGAGGTACTCTGGCATATATGTATACAACATGTTTCTGTATTTACATTTCACCTCATTGATATCTAGCAAGTTGCTCCATGTACATTATGTACGTGTTTCTATGTACAATAAATCTGAAAAAACCTTCAATAGAAGCAAGGCTTTTTATTTTCAGCAGCTGACAGTCGTTATACCCTTTCCTTGGAGATCCACCTTTTTGGAGTGAATTTTATAACACCACTGTGTTTGGATAAGAATATACTCCATACATGCTGGATGAACAAATATATGTACACTAATACCAATCACTTACCCCGATTTGTTCAATTCCTATATTTTCAGTAGAGTCCTCTTTCTCATTCCTCCTCCCAAATACAGTCAGTCAACTTCCCATTGATTTGAATTATTAAAATTGGTCTCAAATTCTTATTTCCCTCTGCTATCATAGTCATAATTAATCTCCCACTTAAGCACCAACTGGAGGTCAAAGGTAAACAAAATACAGCTGTAAAGATCACACTATCTAGGTAAAATGTAAATCAACTTGAGTTTCTTCACTCTTAAAAATTCTTCACTGATCCCATTGACTATGATAAAATCCAAACTATTTGCCATAGCACATAGACCTTTGAAAAATGCTTTTTTGCTGTAATTCTGATCGCATTTTATTTCTTCCCCAAACAGACCACTTTCATTTCACAATTCATGCCTTTGCACAAGCTGTTCATTCCCTACCAATGAATGCCATTTCCCTCTCTTGACTCCTTCAATTCCTGAACAAGACTTAGTGCTTGCTTTAAAGCAAAGCTCCTCTAGGAAGTCTTCCCTCACTAGTACTTTCCATTCAGCACATTTCATTTTCATTATTTGCTTGTCTGGCTATTCCACACTATGCAGCTCTTGAGGACAGAGCCTCCATTATTACTCCAGGCCTTCCAAGGTGCTGGGATTACAGGCATGAGCCACCTTACCCGGCCTCAAATACTTTTTACCATAAAAAGAAATGAAAAATGGGAGTTTGATCTAATTTTCATTACCAGTTACATGTAATGTAAAAAAGCAGATAAAAGCAGAAAATAAAAAAAGGAGGGGGAGTAGAGGCTTGCAAAATCAACTCAAAAAGCAGGTAATCTAATTGTGAATAATCCAGAATTGAGTATATTATATCTGTTGCCATACACTCTCCCTCCTGATAATTGAACCAGACAATCACTTTCAAGAAAGGTTAAGTGGTCCTAAGTAATAAAACAAATAATACTTATTTTCATATAAAAACGGCAATTTTCTTGCCAGAAAGACACATACCATGTCTTTTCAAAGCCTTCTGGAAACTTTTCTTTTCTTTCTTTTTTTTTTTTTTTTTTTTGAGATGAAGTCTTGCTCTGTTGCAATGGCACGATCTTGGCTCACTTCAACTCCGCCTCCCAGGTTCAAGTGATTCTCCTGTCTCAGCCTCCCCAGTAGCTGGGACTACAGGTGCACACCACCACGCCTGGCTAATTTTTGTATTTTAGTAGAGATGGAGTTTCACCATATTGGTTAGGCTGGTCTCAAACTCCTGACCTCAGGTGATCCACTCACCTCAGCCTACCAAAGTGCTGGGATTAAAGGTGTGAGCCACCACACTCAGCCAAATTTTTTTAATGTAAGTAATTTTTACTTCTTTAGAAAAATTATATAACTAGCAAACCATGTCTAATATAAGGATAATTCCATAAACTTTTACCAGGTCCCACTCACATTTACAAACAAACAAACAAACAAACAGAAAACAACAAACAAACACAAAATTAAAAAAAAAAAAAGATTGATAGCTCACCACAATCCACATGATTACAATGATCCCAGCCCTTGGGAAGCCAAAGCAGGTGGATCACTTGAGGTCAGGAGTTTGAGGTCAGCCTGGCCAACATGGTAAACCCCATATCTACTAAAACTACAAAAAGATTAGCCAGGCGTGGTGGTGCACACTTGTAATTTCAGCTACAAAGGAGGCTGAAGCAGAAGAATCAATTGAACTCAGGAGTTGAGGTTGCAGTGAGCTGAATCACACCACTGCACTCCAGCCTGGGAAACAGAGTGAGTCTCCGTCTCAAAAAAAAATAAAAAAGATCCCAGCCTTACAAATTAAAAATCAAATACTCTTTCCCGCAGACCAGACCATATTTACAGACTGTTTTTTTCTGGTTCATAGTTCAGCATTTGGTTTTGCAGCCCACGCCTAAAAGGATAAAGTGTTAATGCATTCTAATTTCTTGCAAGTAGCATCACTTTATCACTTCTGTATAAAAGAAAAATGATCACTTACCTTTTGATGCTTTCAAGACAGTACTTAACAATTATCACTGTAGTATACCTGCTTCCTAGGACAGATTAGACTAACTACCACAGGATCACTGTTTTTCCATTTTTCTAATGACAAAACAGGTTTTTGTAGACTATAAATTGGGTTTTACAATTCGTAAGTGATAAGAATTCCTAGCAAGCTACAGATTTTTAATAATATCAAGCCACATACATGTTGAAGTGGTATAAACTTTTGATTCTCAAGAATCAGAATAGACTAATGAATTGTGACACTCTAAAAAGCACCAAAAACGAAAGCTCTATAATTAAACATATAAATAATTATATATCCAATTCGGAGTTACAAACGTGCTGTTATTCAAAAGCACATTTTTTCCCCCTGAAAATCCATTTCCTTTTCTCTTTGTAGCTGAAAAGTCATTATAATACAATCAAAAGACTTTGCGTAAATCAAATAAGCAATTTTGCTTTATGCTAATCATCATAAATTATAAGGAAATATAACCATAGTTAAACAGTAATATCACTATCATTATTTTAATTTATAATTATTTTTAAATAAAATTAATTAAATATAAAACATTCAACCACAAACACTGGAGATAAATATTTTTATATTTAGAGAATATAAAAGTCACCTTTCACTCATGAG